ATGGTTGAAGGAGAGACCAGAGGTCTAAGAAAAGTAACGATTCTAGTATCGGACCCAGACCCATACGCCACCGAATCATCTTCCGACGAATCTGATCGAGAAACGCGGCAGAAGCGAGTGGTCGGTGAAGTCTTTATCCCCCATTCCGCCGCCGTAGCAGCGCCGCTGACCCAACCGGAGAAGGACCCGGTGGCGGTTCCGGTTCAGGAAATCGGGTCGGGCTCGGGTCAGAAGAAGAAGTGGCCCGGGGTTAGGAAGAGGAAGTGGGGGAAATGGTGCGCGGAGATCAGAAACCCTCTCGTCGGGCGGCGCGTTTGGCTGGGGACTTTCGATTCCCCGGAGGAGGCGTCGCGGGCGTACTTTTCCATGAAGGAGGAGTTCGACAAAATCGCGAGAGCCAAACAAGGAACAAAGAGTAATAAAACGGCGACGATTCTCCCCGTCGGGGTTCAAGTCAGCAAGAAGACCGGAAAGTTCTATTCCGAACTCCCAAACCCAACCGGCAACCGGAAAACTCGTCTCGGCCCATTCAAAACCGCAGAAGAGGCATCGCAGGCCTACCAATCCAAGAAACACGAGTTCGAGGAATCCAAGAAACATGAGTTGAAGGAATCCAAGGTATCCCAATGCGAGGAATCCGAGGTTATTGGTGATGTTCAGAGCTCAGATCATTCCTGCTCTAATGGCGGCGGTGGAGAAGAAGATGGAGATAGGTGGTTGGGGCAGTGGGTATCAATGCCTGATGGGAGTGAGGTCAGTTTCTCAGTCAAATATGGAATCCCCATCATTGATAATTATGGAATGTTTCTGGGTGAATTTAGGAGATTAGATGATGACCTTTGGATCTGCGGCCCTGGAGATGATGACAATCAACCTAGTCATCCGGAATTTCCGGGTAACCCTAATTAAGATAGGTCCTAAATATATAAACTTCTAAGTTGTAACCATAAAGTTACGAGTTCAAATCTCAGCTTGTAAATTGTAATCATAAAGTTACGAGTTTGAAACTCAGTTCTCCAGTCAATTAGCTGGTTTTTATTTTTATTTTTATTTTTTATTTTTTATTTTTATGATCTTTTATCGACTAGGATCGCAAGACGGAATTTACTCATATACAGAGTTTTTGTTTTTTGTTTTCAATAATTTTGTATTATGTATTAGTTTATCCCTTGAACTCGCAATCTCTTATTATGGACTCAATTGGAATATAACTAGATGAGTTATTTTAGGAAATTTAAGATTCTAATTTAAGGTTAATTTCAATGGAAACGTAAGTACATACATGAGTGAGATCAGAGATATACTGTCAGATATTGTGTTTGTGTGTTCTTTTAAAGAAAACTGATTTTTTTAATGAAGAAAAATAAAAGTAAAATTTAGGAAGTGAATATAGAACAGTGTGTGTTGTTTGATTGTTTCTAATTCTTTATCAGGAAAAAAAGGTAAAACAGATATTAAAGCTCCACGACTCCACAGGGTCTTTAATTGGTTATTTTCTTGATTTCTTCCCCCCTCAGTTGAGTTTGTCCCTGTATGGATATGTAGCTAATTTTTTATTTTTTTTTTTTGGAGGAATTTTTTTTTATTTTTATTTTTTATTGAAGATTTTTTAAAGAAAAAAGTTTCAAAAGAAAGTTGAAACAGGCAAACAGCTTTGTAAAAGGATGGATAAGGTGTTTTTATGTAGCTTTTGCATTGGCATTAGATATAATGTAGTTGCAACTTGATATATACGGTGTTTTGACAATTATTTTTTATTTTGATAGGCTTATTATTGGGGTTAGAAATATTGGATTAGACCCAAAAACCCAATTAAAATTATAGTGTGCAAATTTTGATGAAAACGACACAACGACTTACATTTAGAAACTTCTTAATTTATAACAATATTCATCTTTAATTATTGTGTAATTGATTTATAATAAGACTTTTCCCATGGAAATTTGTTTCAATTAATTTCTTTTATAAGTGTTGAGTTATTGATCTAAGGGTATTAAAGATATATATATATATATATATATATATATTTTTTTTTTTTGGGAGTAGAGGGGTTACCCAAACCAAACTAGTGGCTAATATTAGTAGCCACAGTAGTCTCTTTATTCATGCGCAGGATGTCAAGAATTTCTCTCGGTGGGCAATGAAATTCCATCCACTCACAATGCCTCCGCAGGGCTTCTTTAGCCAGCCAGTCAGCCACAACATTTTCTTCACGAGAGATGTAGTCCACATTGACTGACCACTCCTTTTCAAGTCGGTCCTTACACCAATTAAAGATTAACACTCAATTAAGTTAAGTAATCAGTTGAGAAAAATGAAAACAATTAATGATTTATAACCAAGTGATTCTTTTCTAAGTATCTATTAATATTATGTACTAAGACTAATCTAAATGCGAAATTGTTAGAGTGACGATTTAAATGCTAATGATTGCATGTATTTGGGTGGTAAAACTTACTATGTATATAGTTATTGATGGACTTCTAGTTGTAGTCAATAGAAATGAAATGCTACCCGGGCTTAGCTCAATAGTTTAGGTAGTATTTGGGAGAAGAGATCAAGATTTAAATTCGGCGGTGACAGTGTGGGGATTATACCCATAGTGGGCAGTCCTTTGTGCGCACCAGCATTTGACCATGTCTGCTGAATCATTGAATCACCGTGAATTACATCCTCCCAAATGTCCTACTTCATTTCCAAATACTAAGATCACAATACTCATTACATTGGACACTTACAGGGTGTTTGGTTATTTTGTCTATATATAGCTTCATTTTCAAATACTAAATAGGAGGTTTGGTTGGAATGAAGGAATTATGGAGGAAATGAATTGCAATTCGGTGGAAAAAGAATAAAGTGAGAATAATGTAGAAATTCAAATTACATTATTTGATAGAGAGAAATAGAATTATTGAGAATGAGAATAAAAGAAGTGGTATAAAGACTAAAATACCCCTATAATAATAATAACTAAGGGTATTGTTATCATTTCATCACTTTTTTCCTTTCTTACCCGCATTGAATTACAATTCAACAAAAGAATAGAATTGCAATTCCTTCCAACCAAACATTGTAAATTTACATTGCCATTGAATAAGGTAGGAAAAGAATTTCAATTACATTCAATCAAACATGAAACACCCCATTAATGATTTGACACGCATCCTTGATGAACTTATTTCATCCATATATCGATAGGTCAAGTCATGACATGCATAATTTGTGCTTCCTCTTGAACACTTTTATTTGAATGACAAGATAAGTTCACATCTACTATCTGCTAGTGTGCAAAGGATAAACATTGCTTCTGAGTAATAGCTTGCATACTACACAAAAGAAGTAAACTCTACTAAGAACCCCTATGCACTAGTCCCAAGTTGAGAAGCATAAAATGATTTACATTTAGATGAATGAGTGAAAAACAATTGTTTAAATAAGAATAGCAACAAAATGCAAGTGGAAATCAAAGGAACAAACAACAATACGTAGTCTTGAGATAGCTCGAAAAGAAAGAAAATGTCACAACACACTCTGGAATGGCGAAATGGGGAGACAACACAATTGCAATAGCCCTTCATTTCAGCAAGAAATTCACACCCAAAAACAACGTCTCTGAAGAAATCACAATGAAATGGATAGTCAAGTAGAGAAAATATAGAAAGGGAAAATGACATTTCCCCCCATAAATTATATGCTTATAATGTTTTTCTTTGCTGAATTATTCATATATTCACATGAGTCCTATCAAATATTTTAAAAGTAAAGATTTTTCCCTTTCTGTTAAATAGACATTTTTACCCTTACAAATAAGGGCAAAACAAGTATTTCATTTTTTTTTTTTTAAATTTCTAACAAAGCATTGCTTATATGTAGAACCAGAATAAATGCATAAAAAACAAACATCAGTTGCAAATATTACACGGAGTAATAATTTGTGTTTAAATCTTAATTATGTTACTAGCAATAGCTTAAAGTTATAAATATAATATTTGCAAATGAGCATTTATTCTGATTCTCACACATAAGTAATAATTTGTTGGAGAAAGAAAAATAAATGAAATACTTATTTTGCCCTTATTTATAAAGGTAAAAATGTCCAGGAAGAAAAATTGCTACTTTTAAAATAATTGTAAGGACTAATGCAGATACATGAATAATTCAGGAAAAAAAGATGCTATAAGCATATAATTCAGAAAGAAAAAGTGTTGGTTTTCCTATAGAAATGCTAATGCCATCAAGAACAAGAGATTTTTAAAGAATTTGGCTAACCTGTGGTGAACTTAATGATCAGGAGGATAGATTGAGAGCTGAAATCCACATTGGTTTTCATTCTTCAGCTTCTGTATTTCTCGAGCAGAATTAGCTGCCCTTCCATTGGTACAGAACAATTCCATCACCTTAAGGCTCTCAACCTCACCAAACACAGAAGGAACAGTTTCGAGGGCATTGCAGTGCCTGAGAATGAGATATTTCAGTGCCTGAAAGCTATCCTTGGAGACCTTCCATGACACTAAATTAGTCCTTCCAATCCTCAAATATCGCAGCTGTTTGAAGACAATGTTGCTCGAATTGCAAAAGTCACCCCTAAACGCATTCTCCTCCAGCTTCAGCACTTCAAGCTCCTCCAATGAACTCAAGATATTCAAGTCTTTCCAGTCGAATGTCGTGTTTGATAAAGTCATCTTTCTTAGCCTTCGAGGGAATTTTTCAGAGTGAGGGCACCTTCGTAGTTTGTTGTTGTGGAGGGCGTTGTTTATCAGCTTCAGATTTTCTAAACTGTCTAGTTTCTGGAGATTGTCGAATAACGTAACTCCGCCCTTGCTCTCCATAAGCTCTGCCAGATTCCCGCGAATTCCCAGCTTCTGAAGATTCGGAGTCTTCTCCAGAATTTCCTGTGTGCAGCTCGAAGGCGAGATGGTGGAGAGCGTCTGTATGTCTGTGCTTCCCGAGCTGTTCTTAGCGTTTTTCGGGGGAGCGGGCAACACCATGGAAGTGTTGCTGTGCACATGCCTTAGTTTGGGCATACTCCACATATCTGCCTTAACTTCGAGGATGTTTTCCGAGGTTTTGAACACAAGTGTTTGCAAGTTCCAAAGTTTATTGAACACAAGAGGGAGGACTTTCAGTTCAGTCGATACTGCAAGGTACCTCAGATGGGAGAGTTCATAGAGTTGTCGGGGAAGTAATTTGAACTTAAGGGATTCGACGTCCATCACCCTAAGGAGGCGAAAGGATTTCGGGATGACTGCTAAGTGCTCAGTTGGAATCTCTACTTCATTGGAGCAAAAAGATAAGAAAGAGTGGACATGTTCACTAGATGGCTTATTTTCGAGGTTAAGGAAGTCTAGAACAGTGGAATGGACACATATGCGACGAGGCATTTTGTTTAACTCAGGTTTAGCTCCGTTTATATCATAAAACAGATTCTTACCAGCAGCTTCGGTTTTGCAGAACTCGTGTAATGTATCATGGATGCGACATGTTTTGGTCTGACCATCCGCTCTTCTTTTTAGCACCATCAGAAGGTTTCTGTCGACAAGATCTTTCAAGTATTTTTCAGCCGTGACCACCAATTCTGAGCTATACCCACCTTCCATAAGTGGGATGAATCCTTCAGCTATCCACAAACGAATAAGCTTCCATGTCGCGATTTCGTGCCCTATAGGAAAAACTGCGAGGTATAGGAAACAATCTTTCAAGTTATAAGGCAAGTTGTCATAGCTTATCTTCACTAGTTTGTTGTAGCTCATGTCTTCTTTGTTGATTATAGGGTAGGGATCTTGAGCTATCCTTTTCCACTCTGTAGTTGTGCTATCCTTGTTTAGGACACCAGCAATCACCACTATTGCAAGCGGTAATCCGTGGCATTTTATTGCTATGCGCCTTCCATCTTGTTCTGATTCTTTAGGGCATTTTTCTTTACGAAAAACCTTCTTCTCAAGCAACTCCCAACTTTCATTGTTGCTCAAAAATTTTAGCTTGTGAGGGTTACCAGTAGAATCAACACGGGAAGCCACATTGTGGTGTCGAGTGGTTACCAAGACCCTACTACCTTTATTATTGTTAGGAAAAGCAATTCTCAAACAATCCCAAGCATTCTCGGTCCATACATCATCCAGTACAATGAAATACTTTCCGCCCTCCAAGTATTCGTTAATCTTAGCAGCTAATTTCTCCTCGTTCAAATTAAGGAACTCTTTGGTGTTTTTGGTGAAATTACTTAGAATGTCAAGAAATATTTGCTTTCTGTTAATAGTTCTTGAGACATAAACCCAGAGGCGTGTGAAAAACTCGTATTGGAGATCACGGTCCTTAAACACCATTTTGGTTAATGTGGTTTTGCCTAGTCCTGCCATTCCCTCAATTGAGATGATTGTTAGATCATTTGGTCCTCCCAAGAGACGATCTTTTATAATTTTTGCTTCATTGTCAAAACCCACCACATCAACTTCTTCTACCACGGGAGCCTTTTAACAACGGCACCAAAAAAAAAAAAATGATAAGTACAAGTCTACTCCTAAATGTGTATTAACCTCAAAATATTCAAATTACTTTGGTCTATATCCCTCAATTGTCAATTTGTTTTGGGAAAGTGAAACAAAGTGTCTATATGCTTTTAGCTTAGCTTTTGAATTGAAAATCTTATATTCACTATTTAGCCCACCTAATAATAAGAGAAATTTTTAAGCATCCATACTCAACTCGCCATGGGTATAGCTAGCTACCCACTACAAGTATCTACCTAAGCATCAATTATATTGCATATATAGGCTTTCTTTGGTAAAGAGGCTTTTTAGCTTAGCTTTTAATTGTTTAATTCACATTTAAATTAAGGATTTAATAAACAACTTTTAGGATTAGCTTATTAAACAAAAACCAATTTTAGAAAAGCAATTTAAAGCAATATTTATATTTTACTTTGGTTTTTGAGAAAACCATTATCAAACTCCTTTAATGGCCTTACTTCTCTGCTCAAACCGTAATATATCTTTCTCATTTTTAAATTCTTTTCATCTAAACCAACATATTTTAATTTCCTTTTAATTTAATTTTTTTGATAAAAATAGTGGGAAAATAAACTATTTTAGTAAATGCCCTTACCATTCTTTAATATTATTTTTTATCTTTATAAAGAATACTTATTTATTTATAAGCATTTATTAGATGTAATTACTATATAATGTTATTATAAAAGATACTCATATCTTTAAAAAGTCATTATATTTTTTTTGAATGCTTCTGGCTCTATTACAATGTAGAAGTCATTATATATATACTTAACTAACAATTAACAACTAATTTTACAAGGACTATGTGGTCTAATGGTCTTCGAGTTGGACTTTCATTTGGAAGGTTGTGAATTTGAGCCTTAGTGGAGACATTATTGATTCTTTGTGTTTCAGTAGGTTGAGAGAGTATTAGTTTGACTTATTCGACCACTATTAACTGTTTGATTAATTAGTTTTTTTATAATAACTTATTGCTCTAAAATGCTAAAATTCAAACAATCAGCTTTTTGAGAAGTTATTTTGTATATAATCAATTAATAGTTACTTCAAAACACTTTCCTACAATTAGTTAATACTTTCAACTAATTAAACCTACTAATCCAATCAGCCAACCGCTATGATAAAAGCAATTTTCCAAATACACCCAAACTGAAAAATATAATACTAATCAGAAATAAAGTATTTGATCGTAAAAAGTACCATGAGGATAGCTGGTTGACCATTGGCCTGGTCATCTATGAGGGCCTGGAGAGCAGGGCCGTGGATTTCCCGTATCTTCTTAACCCGGGCTAAGATTCCTTGGATATCTCTAGCCGCGGCGTTAACCTTGGCGTAATAAGCCGCGGATGCCATGAATCTCAGCCACCCTTTGTCCTTGTACTGCTTCCTCTCCACCGTGTACTTACAGATGGCGTCCTCGGCGTCGGTCACCACGTTTCTGATCTTGTCCACCACGTCTTTCAGTACAACGTTGTCGTTCGCCCTCGGATTCCTCGACGCCTGTCTCAGATACGCCTCGAAGGATGTCAGGTCGTCCACCAGAGCGTCGATCTGCGCTTTTATCTCCTTTATGAACGTCACGTTCTCGTCCACTACTTGGACTAGCCGGTTCACCAGCTGCCCCACCACTGCGTCTCCCACGGCGGCCATAGCTCCGATGGAGGGCGGAGGGAGATGGACTTAACTTTAAGGTCGTCGGTGATTGAATTGTGATGAGGATGTTTTTTGAGGGAGACTTTTTATGGTCAAGGTCAACTATTGGAGCCAGCTAGCTACCAAGTCTTTGTTTAATATCTTGGGAAGTGGGCATATGTATCAACTACACCGAGCTTCTTTCATGAATTATTATAAATTTAGCCAGCGTTTATGAATAGAAAAATGATAAATGGACTTTAAGGAACTAAAAGCATCTTCAATAGTGTTAGTTTTTTGCTATGTATTTTGTGCTTAAATGGTAGTTTTATGATTTTTTTGAGGAAAGATCAGGATCGAACTTCGGTGGTAGGGTATTGACTCTTTGAACGATAGCAGATAGTAGATAACAAATAGAGAAAATATAGAATAGATACTACATTGTAATATAGTCAATAGTACTCAAAATAGTGTTTGTTTGTTTTTTTTTTAATCTACGCACCTACAACCTTTCTTCTGTTTTTTTAATAAAAACTTCATTTGCAGTAATAAAAATGATAAGTGTAAAAAATATTATGTTTTGTGGGGTATTTGGAAGGAATCTTCTATTATAATTGGAGTCCTTTCACCTTATTATATGCTTGGATTAGAATATCTTATTTTGATTAAAGTTAATATATGGAGTAATAAAGACTAATTGTGTTTGTATTTGTGTAATATAGGAAAACAATGATTTTTCAAGCGCACTTCGACGAAAGTTTGGTATTTTGATCATCTCTTGGGTTAAGAATATTCAAATGAGGTGATTCAAGTGGTATTGAAATAACAACTCAAAAGGCTACCACTTTGCTAAAGACCACAAAGTCTAATTTGGACATCTTCAAGGTCAGAATCACACCACAAAGTTACCCCACGATGCAGCTCGTGACACCAACTTCTACAAATTTTGAGCACTATTAAATATGTTTTAGATGTGCAAACTTGGGTAAAAAATCAGTTAACAGATCAAATCGAAGAACTTTAGTTAACCGTAAAAGAGATCGTGACTCAGATCAAAACCCACTTAAAAAGATTGGCACTAGAGTAAGTAATTCCCCTTTCTTACTTAGCAACCTATCCATCTTCCTTATGATGCCTTTGCCGAAAGAGGTGTTCCGTACCAAAAGAGTATCTATTTAGAAAGGAGACCTTTAGAAGGTTGGTTTATCTCACACCATACTTTGTCTTTGGTTTAGCTTCCCACCCGTCAAAATCGACCAACAAAATTAGAATTCACTATAAAATAAATATGAAGTTAAGCTAAGGACACACCACTTCATTTGAGCATAAGATATATATTTAGATGAATGAGTAAAATTTTTTGATCTGAAATAGCAAAATGCCAGTGGAAACCAAATTAAAGGATAATAACAACAAACAACAATATAATACATAGCCTTGAGAAGATGCAAAAGAAAGACAATTGCAGCAAGAAATCCACTCCATCATCGTCGTCTCTGAAGAAATCATAATGAGAAAGCTAAGTTAGCCATTAAATGCATATATAGTCAATTAAGTTGAGAAAACAAAGAAATGCAATTATCAGAACAAGAGATACTTAAGGAATTTGACTGACCTGATGAGCTCAAGTAAACTTAGTGATCTGGAGGATAGGTTGACAGCTGAAATCCATTCAACTTTTGTATTTCTTTAGCAGAAGTGGCTGCCTTTTTGTTGGTACAGAATAATTCCATCACCTTAAGGCTCTCTACTTGAGCAAACTCACACGGAACAGCTTCAAGGGCAGTGCAGTGTCTGAGAATCAGATGTTTAAGTGCTGGAAAACTATCCTTGGAAATCTTCCATGTCATTAAATTAGTCCTCCCAATCCGCAAATATTGCAGTTGTTTGAAAACAATGTTGCTTAAATCACAGTAATCTCCTCTGAACGCATTCTCCTCCAGCTTGAGGACTTCAAGATCGTCTAAAGAGCCCAAGGTATTCAAGTCCTTCCACTCAAAAGACGTGTTCGATAAAGTCATCTTTCTTAGCCTGCGCGGGAATTTGTCAGCATGAGGAAATCTTCTCATCAATTTGCTGGTTTGGAGGGCGTTATTTATGAGCTTCAAATTTTCCAGATAATCTAGCATTTGAAGATTGTCAAACAAACTAACCCCTCCCTTGCTCTCCATAAGCTCAGCCAAATTCCCGCGAATTCCCAGCTTCTGAAGATTTGGAGTCTTCTCCAAAATTTCCTCGGTGCAACTCGAAGGGGATATGGTAGAAAGTGTCTGTATTTCTATACTTCCCGAGTTGTTCTTTGGAGGAGGGGGCAACAACATGGAAGTGTTGCTGTGCACATGCCTTAGTTTAGACATGCTCCATATGTCTGCCTTAACTTCAACACTGTTTTCCGAGGTGTTGAACACGAGCGTTTGGATGTTCCACAGATTACTAAACACCTTGGGGAGGAGTTTGAGGTCAGTTGATACCGCAAGGTACCTCATATAAGAGAGTTTATATAACTCTTTAGGCAATAGTTTGAACTTAAGGGATTCAACATCCATCACCCTAAGAAGAGGAAAGGATTTTGGAATGGTTGCCAAGTGCTCAATTGGAGTGTCTATTTCATTAGAGGTAAATGACAAGAAAGAGTGGACATGGTCACCGGATGGCTTTCTTTCTGATTTAAGGAAGTCTAGAACAGTAGAGTGAACACAAATGCGACGAGGAGTTTTCTTTAACTCTAGTAGTCTAGCTCCATCAATTTCATGGAAGAGATTATTAGCTGCGGCTTCTGTTTTGCAGAACTCATGTAATGTATCATGAATCCGGCATTTTTTGATTTGACCATCTGCTCGTCTTTTCAACACCATTAGAAGATTCCTGTCGACGAGTTCTTTCAAATATTTCTCAGCTGTGTCCTCCAATTCTAAGCGGTTTCCACCATCGGTTGGCAGAATGAATCCTTCTGCTATCCATAGGCGAATCAATTTCCATGCAGCAATTTCATGCCCAGTAGGAAAAACTCCAAGGTATAAAAACAATCTTTCAAGCTATAAGGCAAATGATCATAACTCAATTTTACTAGAGTGTTGTAGCTCTGGTTCTCTTTGTTAATAACAGGGAAGGGGTCTTCTGCTAATTGTTTCCACTCTGCTGCTGTGCTATTTTTATCTAGGACACCAGCAATCACCACTACTGCAAGTGGTAACCCGTTGCATTTTACGGCTATGCGTTTCCCAGTAACTTCTAATGGATAAGGACATTTTTCTTTACGAAAAACCTTCTTCTTTAGTAACTCCCAACTTTCTCCGTTTTCCAGAAATTTTAGTTGGTGGGGGTCGCGAGCAGAATCAGCATGTGAAGCCACATTGTGGTGTCGAGTGGTTAACAAGACTCTACTACCATTCTTAGTATCTGGAAAAGCAATTTGCAAGCAGTCCCAATCCCTCTCCGCCCACACATCATCAACTACAATGAAATACTTTCCACCCTTCAAATATTCTTTTATTTTATCAGCTAAATTCTGATCAGACATATTTTGGAAGTCTTTGGTAGTTTTGGTGAAGGAGCTCAGAATGTCCAGAAATATTTGCCTTCTATTAAAAGTTTTCGAAACATAAACCCACAAGCGAGTAAAAAACTCAAATTGAATATCACGATCTTCAAACACCATTTTGGTTAATGTGGTTTTACCAAGTCCCGCCATTCCTTCAATTGAGATGACAGTTAGATCATTTGACCCACCTTTAAGACGATTCTTTATAGTGGTTGCCTCACCATCAAAGCCTACAACATCAACTTCTTCCACCACAGGAGCCTTTAACAATTATAAAAATAAAGTCATTATTATTATTACTATTATTTGTGTTACATGTAAAAATAAGGTTAAAAACAACCATATGCTTACCTTAAGTATAAATATGTTAAAACTAATGTGCTTAGATAACGATATTCGGGGTTAACAACATGGCCAGTCTGCTGAGTTATAGTTAGATAACGATATTCGGGATTCAAACTATAACTCAGCAAACTGGTCGATATTCGGGATTTAAACTATAACGATTTATCCTTAATGATTCAGGATGAGAAGGTAGTGGAGGCTGGCATGTTGCTATGGTTTTTCAAAGAGGGGGAGGAGGGAGAGGCTTGGCAATTTTTGTGGGATTTGAGAGCCGATCTACTTTGCCATGGGTGGTGATCAGGGATTTCAATGACCTCGCCTTTCAGGCCGAGAAAAAGGGGGTTGACCGCACCTAGCATGCCTACTGCAGGGCTTCTCGGAAACACTGGAGTTTATGGGCTATCACACTTGCTGATGTCTAGGCACCCATTTACATGGGAGAGATGGAGGGTATAGTGGGTTGGGTGGAGGAGAGACTGGATAGGGTGGTGGCGGAAAGGGACCGGTGTGTGTTGCACTGTTGCATAAGGAGGCAAGGATGTTTAATTTGGAAGCCTACACCTTAGACCACTCGACTTTGTTTCTTGACATCTACAAGCTTGTGCTTGGAGAAGGAAGAGGTTCAGATTTGAGAATGTTTGGCTTCTGGATGGGGGTTGTGGTAAGGTGGTGAAAGAGACGTGGGAGGGGTTATAGGGGATGGGCCTGCAGGAAAAGCTCAACTGGTGTGGCTCGAGGCTAGTAAGATGAGGGTGATAGGTGTCATGAGTTCGGGAAGCGTATAATAAGTTTACAGAGAGAGTTGAGGCTGTTGAGGGGATGTACGAGTGAGGCCTCGTTTGTAGAGTTTAACCCGTTAGAAGGGGAGTTGCAAAACATGAGGACGTGTACTGGAGGCAAAGAGCCAAGCAGCACTGGCTACAGGAGTGTGACTCTAATACTAGGTTTTTCCATCTCTCAGCCTCTAGTAGGAAGATGAAGAATCATGTTAGAATGCTGAGGAATGGGGTGGGAGAGTGGGTAGAGGGAGAGGGGTTGGGTCCTCTGGTGGTGGGTTATTTTGAAGGGATTTTTCAATCTAAGGGTTGCCAAGGTGAGGGTTGTTTTGAGTCCCTGCAGTCGCACATCACTGAGGAAATGAATGAGGAGCTACTTAGGTCTTTCAGGGCTGATGAGGAGGTGAAGGTGGAGGTATTTGCAATGTGTCCAGATAAAGCCCATGGACTGGATAAGAAGAACCCCCGAGGTTTTTCTAGAGTTTT